TACCTCTGGTGCAAATTACTGACCTCTGTCATCATTTTAAGTGGGGGAACTTGCACAATCGGTGGCTGACTAAATACTTTTTTGCCCCACTGTAAATATGGATTGTTTTAAACTCTGAATTCTAAATATATGAAGCTGGAAATTAGCGTAACTTCAAAGTTACTGTTGGTCTAACAAAAAAGGAGCTTTTAGGGAAAAGCATGACCAAACAAGGCTCTCCAGTCTTGTTGACACACACACGTTCCATTTTACTTTCTTGCTTACAGTTTGGACAACATGAATTTAAGAACATCTTATCCTTGTATTTAAACAGGAGCTGTCTTTGCGTGGCCTTGTATCTCTGGGATTCTGTTTCCTCGCTGGCTTCCTGCCGTACATCTACCTGCCGATTTCATCCTACCTCAACACAGCCCGCTGGAGCTGGGGTGACCAGACCACCCTGTCGGGTCTGTTGACCCACCTGCTGCGAGCTGAATATGGCACATTCTGTCTGGTAAGTGTTGCTTGCCTCGCTGCATTTAAACAGACCCTGACCCTGTTGGGTTAGCTTACATTGATTTTTGTTTTGCAGGCAAAGACAGAAAGCTCGGTTAACCTGACCACAATGCTGCAGTAAGTAAACAGTCTTTCTGCTGATTGCACGTGAAACTTCCCGGTCTGAATATTGTAAACGGCACAACAAGATGGTCATTTAATGCGTATAATAATCATCAGCTAAACTCACATCATCGTTTCCCAGAACAAAGTAACATCACTGAATTTCTAGTTTTTGTGGCCAAAGCAGCACATTTAGTCTGTCTCGCGGGAAACAGTATGTTTCTCATCCATAAACTGTCCAGGATGTTTGATTTGAGTATTTCATTTCTATTTAGACAGTAGGATCTAGGATGGAGAAGGGAGGAAAGTAGGTCGATTTGATCTGAGGCACAGTGAGGGCACGTTTGGGACTAGAGATGCATTGCTTTGCAATGGTTCTGGTGATTTACACAGGTTTAGCCACATACACACGCACACCAAGCCATTATAAGGGCCCACAGTCATTTCTGCAGCCCATCTCTTCCCTTACTCTCCCCAGCAGCTTTTGTTCTTCCCATTCCACTCTCTCCCATCAAAGCAGAACTGAACCTGCTTAGAGGGCCAAATCACTGTGTTCTCTTTCTCCAGCAGTTTGAAATGATCACTCAGCTCTGGTGTTTAAGCGTGACAAGCTGTGATGACAGACATTGCAATAGAGCTTGAGAAATTGTATTTTTCCACTCTAGCACCTCCCCACCCCTCCACCCCATTCCCTCCCTTGCTTCCCTCTGCTACCACCACCACAGTCATCCCATTCCTGGTATCTTTCTCCAGCTGACGGGATGGGGTGCGTGTGCGTCTTAAGACCCCCCACTACCAGCCCCCCCTCTGCCAAGCACCCACCCCTTTCCATCACCCCTGCTGCTTGATGGACAAGCACACCTTCAAGATGGGGAAGAGAGGCGAACATGACAGGCATGTCACACTGGAGACGTAAACCCACTGGAATAACTGACACACACACACACACACACACACACACACACACACACACACACACACACACACACACACGAACACACGCTCATGAGCACATTCACACATAGTGTACATTGGGAGATATAGAGACTCAATAAGCTGTCAAATAGAGATGGGTATTAAGGAAGAGGCAGGAAACTATCTCTCCGCTCTGAGCAAGTGCTGTGTGACTGACAGGCGCTGTGAGGAGAGGATGGGGCTGTGGGGGGTGGATGACACAGTCATTCGTATCTGTCAATCCGATTGAAAGGAGGAGTGCACAGTCCAAGGAGTTTGTTTTGATAGGGGATGAAGGGCATTTAATAATTGGTGTCCTTGAGTTCAGTAGCAGGGAGGGTAATTGAGCTTGTCTTCGGTGTCCGTCATGTCTCTGTGTGTGTTTGTGTGTGCAGGGCTCAGTTGGACCACTCCCTGGCAGAACTTTCACTTCCTGTCTTGGTACTGGCAGGAATGGGCTTTGCGCTCTCTGCATTGGACAGGTAAGGATGAGTTGGATGCCAGCGTGCAACACACCAAACTCTGTCACGCACATCTCAGCACCCACTTCAACTACAAAAATCTAATCCCCTGGAGTAAAAGACGGGGAACAAAACCACTGACAAAATGCTGATCTTAGAAAAAAAGAATACAAAACAACACTGAGGCACCTAACTGTCAAACTGTCACGACGCTCCACATTCAGATCAAGAGGATTTGATGTGTATTTTGGATTTTCAAAATCATGTTTGTGTGTACAAGTAAATCACTGCCTGTATGCATCTATATGTGGCAGCGTGATCCTGTAATTCATTACAGGAGAGCCTTTGCTGGGATCTGTTGGGTGGAGCTGATAAAGCCCCAGTAATGCCCCAAAGCCCCGCAGGGCACAAGCTATTCCCCTTCTCCCGAGGTGCACTTCAATAAACTTGGCTACATACACAGACAGATGATGAAGAAGAGGAAGGTCGTCTAATAGATTGCCCAAAGGAAACCCGGCAAATGCTTATTTGCCCCATGTTAAAGTGTAAGGTTATAAATATGATTTCATTTGCTTTTTAGCTATGGTGCTTGTAAGTGAGGAAAACGTAAATCAAGAAAAGCTTGAGTGAGTATAAGTGTCCGGCTGACAGAGATCAGCAAATCAGTTTGTTGGCAGGAAACTGTGCTCCAGCCTGAAAGCTTGTCTCTTCAGGTTCGGACGATGGCTTATTTTTTTGCCACGAGGGGAAATTTTTTCTTTTTGGTGTATAAGAACGTTTTACAGCTGTACTGTAATGAGTTTGTGATTCAGCGGTTGGCACCAGCTCATTATGACTCAGTCTGCATTAGAAAATCAATCATGCACCTCTTAGCTTGCTGGCAGATACGTTTTCTCTCAGGCTTGTGATCCCCGTCCGTGCATTAATATTCTTACAGACTTATTCAAAACAAGTATATTTTTACAGAGTAAATAGACAAAGTGATACATTAGACTAAAAATATGGAAATGGCACACTGTGCATTTAGAAAAAAAAGGAAAGCTGGTTAAATATTTGTGCGCTGAATAACCCGAGGTGTCCCGTCCTAGGAGGTGTCGCTCAGTGTCCTGGCTGCTAACTGTCATGCTGGTGGTCTACTCGCTGTTTTTTGCATGGAGAGCCAACCTGGACGTTAGCAGACCCTTACTGCTCGGAGTGGTGAGCTATAAGACTTTTATGTTCTTAGACATCTTTTCTCATATCATAGCTGAAGCATCACACCTTGTGCTCAGTATTGAATTACAAGTTTGTCTCAGTTTTCAATATTCTGAAATAAAACCACAGTGACAGCAGCGTCTTGTATGTTGATGCTGATCCTGGTCCAACGGTAAAGCAAACCCAGAAAAAAACAAAGCAAAGCAAAAAAAACTACAGAAAACACTTATTTGCCTCTGTGTGTGTGTATATGTGTGTATGTGTGTGTGTGTGTGTGTGTGTGTGGTATACACTTGTATGGTCACTTCCTGCAGGTTGAGCGTTTCTGGCTCCAGAGCGATGCTGCAGTGTGTGTGCTGGCAGGCCTCGGCTTGAGCCGGACTCTAGCTGGGCTGGAGAGGAGGCTGGGCTATGGGGGGTTGTGGAAGACCACAGGCTGGGTCTTCACTGCAGCTCTGCTGGCACATATGGTGCACACCAATCACAGGTGACTATTGCACTTGCTAACAGTAACAAGCTTGCTGTTGTTTGGTGTGATGAAAATCTGCAGTGCTGTCGATACACAGTCAGGAATTACTGTGGTGTGCCACAGTGGTTTTCATTGCAGAAGTCTAAAATGGTAGATTTGTTGTGTTGTTGCAGTTAGACTCATTTTGGCCCCGGCCTCGGAATTGCACTGGATGTGAATGAAGACACTACCAAAGGAACGCAAAGGCAGCACTTTAAATGTATTCTCATTGTTTAATTTAAAAATCCAGCGCTCCGAACTTTAACTCCTTACAAAATCCTTACAGTTCCATTTCCACTGTTGTATATTTGCAGTAAAAGGGCTGAGTTAGGGCTTTGTAACGTCTGAATTTGGAGACAATTAGAAAACTAATTCTTAACAGCAAAGATTTTGATCACAGTGGACATAATTATTGTAGCTGCATTGTTTTTTTCTTCTACAGGCTATTAGTGATTTCAGGCTCTAATGGTGTTTTTGTGTCCGACCGCTCGAGCCTTACGGTTTCTTTTCAGATACTCTGCAATCCATGTATCTGTCAATTTAATGTTTTTACATTATTCATGTTGCAGTAACTACACTGAACCCAAATGCATATGAAGAATGAAGTTAAATACTTCTGCTTTGTAAACTTTAAATGATGTAAAAACTCCCCTCTTCTAGCTGCTTCTAAAATCCTCATGCACAGTTTTTCCTGAGTCAACCTGATTTGTTTCTCTTTTGCTTCTCTGCGCTTCATACTGCAGGTCTGAACTCCATATGTCAGGTTTTTCTCTGCTCACCCCATGGTAGGGGCTAAAGAGAGGCACGGTTAGCACATAGATTCTACTCTCAGAGCTCAGTCTGAGATGTTAGCTGTCCGAGAAGGCAGATTACACCAGCGTAGCGCTGGGGAGTGCCAGACAGCCATCACTGAGCGGCTTTGATCAAGGGGAGAGCATGGCCTGTGCTGTCAGACCCATCACACCTGTCTCCCCACGATTAGATAGGCAGCTAGAGTGAGGGGAAGGGGCGGGGGCACTGACAACTTACCCTCAGAGCACCTTGAAAGCGTACCTACAGACACTCACATGTACACTGCTGCACACATCTCACACACACTTCTGAGCAGGGGTAAAGATGTGTTTAACCATTTTTAAAATGGGAGAAAATGCAACTTCTGTTTTGATGCTAGTGTAGAGTAATTGCTTGCATATGTGCTGATGATCTTAGGGAGTGTGATCAGAGTGGGAACACTGTGGTGGAGAGGTTCGGCAGGGAGCTTCTGGCCTCCTTCTCCAAAGACTCAATCATCCTGACCAGAGGAGATCTGCCTGGAAATTCTCTGCGATACCTGCACTACTGCCAGGGCGTACGGCCTGATGTACGCCTGGTTGATCAGGAGGTCAGAAGGTTTTCCCTGTACCTTTAATGAAAAGATTTTTCCTTCATAATATAAGTTAAGGAATTTTATTTATGACGAAATTGTTTTGTCTTATTTTTCTTGTTCATTAAAACCGCACTATATTCAAAAGAGATTTAAAAAATAAAGGACAAAATGTGAACGAAGTGTGATTTCTCATGACAATATAATGTTTGACATATTTTGGCAAAATGTAAAAATCAGCTTTGTGGTAACTGAAAGAAATTCATTGAAAATCATAAATTAGACCCTTAAGTCAGCAAGTAGAGGCCTTATAAATTGGTTGTGTTGTCTTATATACTTATTAGTTTGTATATGTTATCAGTATGATTCATCAGTTGCTTTAAGATATAATGACACAAAAATCCCTTTAAACTAATTGCTCTGATGATTGTTTAACTGATAATCGACTGGTTATAAATATTTCTCTGGGATTGGTGGTGCTCTTTGTTCTCACTAGATGATGACATATGCTTGGTATGTGGCCAAGCTGGCACAGCACCACCCTGGGATCCACTTTCCCGGCCGCTGGTGGGACCCGGTCAACCCCGAGGAGAAAGGCACCTTCAGTCTCGATCAATTTCTGTCCCGCAACACGCAGTAAGTGTCTCAGACACATGAAAAGAGCAGAGGGGGAATAAAAGGATGTTAAATGGAAAGAGAGAGAGAGTGAGTGAATTGGGAGGGCAACAATGAACAAGTGGGTGATCTAATGAGGCAGAGATCAGCAGAATGGTCGACACAGTGCAAGCACAAGATAAGCCCACAGAACTGTTGAGGCCATAAAAGGAGTCTGATGAACTACAAAAGTCAGCTAATCTACTTGATTTGGTTAAACGGTCTCTGGTGGACTTGCTGCTGCTCCCATGATTCACTCCTTCAGGAGGAACTGAGATCCAGAAATTGGATAGTGCCTTGTTAATACCAAGCCCACCAGGGGGCAGTGTTTGCCAGGCCAACGTATATGTATCTCTGTGGGGGCAACACTGACCTGCGGGATTAACCCTCGGGGTCTGTGAGAAGCGCAGGGCTGATGGGAACCTAGAAGGTGCTGGGATGTGAGGAAATTTCTGTCACCATGTTGTCGCTGTGTGTGTCATTATAAACAGCTACCCGGAGATAAAAACTGAGGGCACGAGAAAGCTTCTATCTAAGAGTTTGTCTCTGTTTTTCTGCAGGAGGGATGTGTTTGCCTGCATCGGGCTTCCTGATGGAGACCTGAGCTGGGAACACAGTTATTCCCGCTGGCCCCTGGGCGTGTGTGACTACTTAGTGCCCGTTCAGAAGCAGTTTCACCCTGAAGAGTGGGCTCATCGTACACGCAATATCTATAACTGGAGTGATCCACACAACAGGTTAACAGTTAACTCTTACCTTCATGCGTATTTCAGCCTGGATTATACTATTAAAATAATATATATTTAGATTGGTCTTGGGGATGTCATGTCATGCTCATTGCTCTGAAATTTAACCTAACATGTTAAATGTTTTTAGAAAAGTTAGATCTCTTTGATCTTCATTTGAATTTTCATAACATTTCAGCGTTGCTGATTTTTAAATGGTTAAAAATTAGCATGGTTTAATTTTTAAGGTCTGCTGTTGGCCAAGAAAATAAACAAATCCTTTGGAGTGAAAAAAAAAGAAAATCTCAGTGCTCACTTTTCTCTCTGTGGTCTTCAGTCGTCCCTCCACAGACTCCACAGAACGTCCCTCAGTGGGCTTGTCCTCTGTTCTCCATGCTGTGATCCAGCTCTTTGTGAATTTTACCAGAGCAAGACATTAGGCCCTTAGCCATCTGAAATGAGACTGAAGATGAAAAATAATGAGTTTCTTATTGCGTTTTGTCAATAACTGTGTCAAAAGTGGAATTAGTCAAAGCTCCATATTTTGTTGCTGTTGCCAGGAGCCCTTCATTCACTCAGATATCCACGGCTGAATACTGTGACATTATTTCCCGCACCCTCACGACAAGCGTGTCTGCCGATGCCCACAAGCCAAATATTAGCTCGGAAACCCTGCTAAAATATTCTTTTGAAGAAGAGGTCAAGTGTTTACAGTCAACAAAGTGGGGGAAAAAAAGGCAGATGTGGTTTTACTCCATGTCTAATGTGCTAGCTGGTATTGTTGCTCAGTCACTTAATGTTTATGCAGCAAACATTGATGTTTAGTGTATCAAAACCTGCACAGCCAAGTGGAACAATATATTCACATAAATAATCATTTATAGTTAGTGGAACTGTGAATAAGCCAGCGCGGTGCCTGAAGGTGGTTTAGATAAAGAAATGATTTTTTTTTCTCCCCATGTATGAACAGTTTCCATCCTGCATCCTGGGAGCGTGTTGCTAATGAAGAGATGTGGCAAGCCAGGTATGCTGAATGCTTTACAGCGGATGCTAGTTTTCTTGTTTGAAGTGGATGTATACTTTCGAGCGTAAATAAAAAGCTGTGTCACGATGCATATTGCCCCACCAGAACATCTCCATAAACCAGTCTTGTGTGGTAAAACATCTACACGTACAATGTATTTGGTGCCGGCATCTACATAAATCACTCCATTGGAGTGGTGCGTCTGAGAGTGTAGATCTGCATGGCTCATCCATCCAGCACTTAGCCCTGAGCCTGCGTGCTTTGTTTCAGGATGAAGACGGCTTTCTTTCTGTTTGACCTGGCTGAAAGGATGCAGGGAGAGGGAAAAGCTCGCCTCTTTGAGCTGTCTTACACTGTGAGTCTGACCCCCACCTGCAAACACTTTACCACAGTAGGGCAGATTAAAATGCATCAGGAAAATCATGAATGTTTTTATGTTTATCTCTGTTTTTTTTATTGCCGGGAAGCTATATAAGGAGATTGTTGAGGCCCACTCCGACTATCCTCCAAACTGGGACAAGAACCTGGCTCTGGCTTGCGAGAGGCTGCTCTGCTCCGGTCACAGGGGTTACAGTGCAGACAGCCTACTGACCTGCAGTGTCCAGCACTTCAGTCTTTACTTAGAGAAGGACCCCACTGATCCCCAGGCACCCGCCATCCGCTCAGCCATTACTCACCTGCTCCAAGAGAGAGACAGATTCCGACAGAGCCGGAGGCAAACCCCATAAGATCCATGGAGCTGGAACAATGGAAATCATGGCTGAGCCAATGTGCCTCTTTGTGTGGTTTTAAGGTGACGCTCTATGTGGATCAAGACTGGTGCACTGGTGTTAAGTTTGGCTAAATGTACTGTGCCAAATTGGACTTGTATGTCAGAATTTGAAATGAAGGGAAATGCTGGTGGATAAGTTCTTGTTTGAAGTTACCAAACAGAGCTAACACTGTGCTACGTCTCATTTGATGAATGTTTACAGTTGACCCGTGGCAGGGCATGACTTTAGGAAGCCCTGCCTGACCTCAATCAAGCTCTGCACGCTTCTCTTAAAGTCACCCATTCAATTGCTTTATCGTTACATCTCGCCCCCCCCCCCCCTTTTTTTTTTTTTTTTTCCCTATTCTGCTCTCAGAGCTTTTAACGTGCTGATTATTCTGCCTCAGCCTCTGCTCTACTTCTTTTTCTCACATTAGGATGGCAAGACCGAGATTGAGGGAAACCCAATTTGGGGGCAGAAATGGGGGATTAGAGCGGCTGTTTAATCTAGGACAGACTTGTGCTGTGCCACGCAGCCTCACTCCACATCAGTGGCAGCCCTACACACCCACCCACCCCTCTATCCTTCCATCAGTCTATCTTAGATGGTCCTTTAAATGTTTAAAACTAATGGATTCGATGAGTGCTTTTTTACCCCCCTCTCTCTCTCTCTTCCTTCCTAACATGAGGGCGGTAATCCCTCTTGGATTTAAATGAAATGTGAAATGTCACAATGCCAGGGACCCTTTTAGAGGTGCGTTCGTGCGTGTGCCCATGTGGGCATCTATGTTGATTTGGGTCTGCATGTGTGTGAGAACATGCTTAAATCTCCACTCAGCCCCCTCTCCTTGCCAGAATTGCTCATAAACCTATTCGATAAACAGATCGGCACACTGAAAAGCAAAATGCTTTGATCATTAGAGAGACACAAAGTCATGGAAAGTTCACGGACAAACGCAGACACGCAAGATTTTCAATGCTCGACTCACAGAAAAATGGAATCTCAGGTCTGTGAATGTCGGGAAGAGGTGCCGTCAAACTTAGTCTGACTGGACCAGGGTTGTTTGAAGAACACCCTTGAAGTACGCCTTTGTATCTGACGCATCAGTTACACACTGTTTTTAAAAATGTTAGTGTTGATGTTAATGAACCTCGTGCCATGAAATTTGTTGTGCAGAGGTCAAATCAGCATTTTGCCATAAGCTTTATAAAACGTTTCTGAAGAAGCCTGCTGTTTGAGATACCAGCGGAAAGCGAGGGACAGTGAGTGCATGTGCAGTTTTCTCCGAATGTAATCTGCCCTCTGTGTTCGCAGGCCTGGTTAGCGGCTGTCAGCTGGCTGGATGATGAGGTTCGACCTGCTGTAGCGCAGATGGTTTGGTTTCACATAAAAACAACGGGGAAACTGTCATTCTGCTTTCTACAGATTAAAATATTTCAATAAAGATTTTTTTTTTACGTATTTTTGTGCTCTGCTCTCAAATGTAGTATTTTTGATCAAACATGTTATCATATTTGTTGTTTTGACATTGCAGGCAAATTAATAATGTGGGTTTAAATCGTGTTTTTTAACTTCGCTTGACTGTATTGGTGTAGTTTAATGTTTACATCAGTTATCTGCTGCCACATGGCTCATCTCCTTATTTTTACCTTACCTTCCTTTTATCATCCCCCTCTTGTCACCCACCCTCCCCGCCTCCCACCCCCTCTCACTCTGTCTTTCCGTAACCCCTCTGTTCCTCTTCTCTCCCGTTTCTGAGAGTCACTTGCCCACCCTAAATCAGCAAGCTGCCGAGGATTGTGGGAACCCATGGAATCGCCGTGACCAGGGATGCAGGCAGGGAGCCACGGCAACGCTGGAATGTGGGGCGTCTGAGGAGATAAGAGCTGTGAGCCCAGCCAGGGAGAGGCGCGAAGTGGGGGAGGACGCAGAGGCAGAGTGAGGAGGGTGAGACAGAAACAGGGAGAGCAGCAAGTCTGTGAATGGGGAAACAGAAACACAACGCCATAAACAGCCAGAGAGCAAGACAGAGTGAGACAGAGAAAGAGGGGCGGGGGACTTAGGGGGGCACACACTGGAGATGGGAAGCCAGCCTTATTCCTCTTTGCATTTCATTTACATCCCTGGCCGTATCGACCAATCGGATTGGGAGCAAAGCCCAGGGCTTAGGAGGGGAATAAAAAGACAAAATGCCTTTGCTGCTCTCATCCCTCCCTGATAATACCCCTTCTGTTTTTCTTTTCTCCTTTTCTCTCGTCTATAAGTAGATACTGTCCGAAATGCCAGCGGAAAAGCGACACCTCCGCTTGCTGTGTATCTCAGATAGACCGAGCGGGAGCAGGGGCTGAAAAGACAGCTTTAGCAACTGGGCCTATCTCCACTCCTCTCTCTGGCTGGATGGGAGCTTGGAGTGGAAGGAGGCGGAGGGCTGGGGTGTGTTGGTTAGTGTTTGGGAAGAGAATAGAGGGTGTGAGAGGCATGATATACTGAGCTGGCCACAGATTTTGCAAAATCTTACACTCTGAAAAACTTTGCCTTCAGATCCCTTTCTTAAGCATGAGAAACCTGTGTCAAGGATGTTTACCAGGTGCCACCCATCCTTGTAAAGGTTGCCAATGCCTTTTACCAAAGTCTGCACATATTTGTTAGCTTAACATTGCTGTCGCATGCAAAAAGAAATGTTTTTTTTTTCCTCCCAAGACTCGTATGTCTCATTTCATACTATGATTTAGTCATGAAAGTGACTTATTCAAGTACAGTACTGTCCAAGTCCTGAGCAGTTTATTGAAACATGCAAGCGTACATGGGAATACAGTATATGAGGTAAAAACAGAGTTTGTACATTTCTAACAAGCTTGAAAGTCGATATTTAGTATGACCACTTTTATTCTTCATTCTTCTTCTTCGCCTGAAATCTTGTAGGCAAGCTTTCTTGTATTTTCTTTAAGTTGTATTTAGTAATATTTCTCTGGATGTTGTCTGCCTTTTCTTCTGTCAAAATGATCCAACACTGCTTTGGTAACATTGAGGTGCAGGCTCTGGCGAGGCCAGGCTTGCATTCATCCCTCCACTACTGATTTCCAGTCCTGTTCTTGTGTAAGTTGGAATACCTCGGTTTTTTTCACCCTGTTTCCCTTCCACAAGAAGGAATTCTTAACAGCCACTGAGACCTTTTCTGATGAGCCTTTAGTTAGCAGTAGATGGATAGACTAAATTATTTTTTTTCTTATTTCTTAAGGACGTGACTTTTGGATTCTGTTCATCTGCTATAGATAGTTTTGAGTTCTGCCACTTCTTCTGTCCTCTATTCATCGAGTTTCCTCCGTTTTTTGTGACACATTGCACACCATGCCAAAACATGCCTAGTTTTCAGCTAATAGCTCTTTGCGACTCTACTTATTGGTGCAAAAATACTATTTTGTACTTGTCAAACTGTATTACCTTTGGCATTTTTCATGAATGCAAGAGGTAAAGATAGAAGACAGTACTGTATGTATCAAGTAAACATGTATGAGAAAATGTAAAAAAGCAGATAAACAGTTATCACTTTTGTCTGAGTTTAAGGAGGTCCTGAGTTTGGACCCATGCAGTGCCTCTGTGTGCACTTGACTCTACCACAAAAGTCATTCTAAATCTCAAGAGTTTCACTTCCTTCATGCAAATGTATTCAAAAAACAACATTTGCCTGCAGGTTTGTCTGAAACACCAACTCCTGTGAGCAGACACACTGTAACCTTAAACTTTTTACAGAGGTAGCACTACTGTTATCTGAGCTAAATTAACTGCTCTCCTGAATGTGTATTGCGTAGAATTAGGCCCATTAACATCAGTCTGTGTTGACATCATGATTGACTTTTCTCAGGTTTCCGTTTGCCATCACTCTTGATTTGTGTTTCCACAGTGTGTGGCGGCCAGTGTTTGTATGTCAGGTGCAGCATGTGTGCAAGTTTATTTGTACAGGTGTTTTTAGTGCCCTCCATTGTGTTACTGTTTGTATGTTGTATTTGCAAGTTTCTTTACTGTGTTTAAAAAAACTGACATTGTCTTCCTGCTCATGTCTTTGTGTGGTTGCACCTATACCGTTGTACTGCAGCTGGATCCTGCACTGCCAATGCTGCCGACATTTAAATAGTGCATATTGAAATTTACTGTTTGAGAGATGAGTTTATCTCACTTGGGGTTTGTGGCACAGCTGTTAGAGAAAGAGAGGGTCCGTTACCTGCCTGCACCAAAAACCTGTGAGTGATCAGGTCACATTAGGACCCTGTGTGGACCCCCCGGCAGCTTCACAGCATCCTGGTCCTCTTTAGCCCACACAGCCTCCTCCCAATAGTAAATCAAACCAAACAATAGAGGAAGATATCCGAGGGATTAGAGGTCAGAGGGTTGGGGAATACAACATCTCTATTTCCAGGATCAATTTTCAACCGCTTGGTAATCTCTGCCCCCAGGCTCCACATACCTCCAGTGGTTTCTCTGGCGGGGAGGTGGCATTGCCAGGCTGTTGGAGCTGGTACTCCAGCTGGGTGTGCGTGGTTGATAGGATAGCGGGGAGGTGAGGTTGTAGGTTGATGGTGTAGATGGACAGGAGAGCAGAGGGATGAGTAACAATAGGTCCCTCCCCTGTATCCAAACCTTACCTTAATCCTCACGGATAAAAGTGTAAATGTACGGTGTGTACGATCATACGCTCGTGACATTTTAGCAGATGAAAAACGTTCGCCGTGTGTCTGTGTGCTTCCTGTGTGTGCACGTGTCCACAAAGTTTGTTTTAATCTGCAAATTTGTAAATGTGAAATAACTTTGAGTTCTTTCGAGCAGGCTGAATATTATCCCCAAGTTCCCGTTGTTATCTTGTGTACACACATTTGTTTATTTGATACAGCCTCGCTCCACTACAGCACTTCTGTATATCAAAGACAGCAGTGCGGAGCGTAATTGAAAATGGCTACCGTGGAGAAAGGTCTCTCTGCTTTGACTGAGAAGAGGCAGGAAAAAGCCTCATTCTCCGCTCCCTTCTTAGATCTATTTAAATAATTGAGGAGTAAACTGACAAATTAGGCACCTTTATGGACGCCCCTGGGCTCTCTCTGGGGTCCTTCACTTTTCCCAGTACAAGAGAGCGCCACTAGGCACTGGATAATATCTCTGTGTGCTTTGAGAAGAAGGGGGGTAGTGGGCCAGGAGGGGTTTCGCCAATCAAGCGGGCCACACTTCCTCCCCCAGGTTCTAATTTTGTGCCACATTAAAGAGCTCGGCCTCCATTTAGGACACAGAGAGGCATTTTCATAATTTGCCGGGTCTCTCGACTAGCTCGGGGTGCCTTTTTTCCTCTCTCTTGCCTCTCTTTCCCTCACTCTGTATCTGAATGGAGGGCCCGGGGAGGAAGAGGGGTAATTCATTCGTTTCCTTTCAACCAACCAGCTTCAGTTCTGCATAATGTTGCTGCTAGGTGTGTACGGAAGCTAATATTTATCTCTTTAATAATTCCCCATTAGACCTGAATATTATTTGCCACATAAAGCCTACACTGCTTATTGTGGGGTGTACATTGAAACGGTGGCGTTCGTGCATCGCAGCTGTGACCATTGATTAAATATGTGTACTGTACACCCAACACGTAATCTAGGTTAAAGTTGTTTTAATTCTTCTTGCTGACACCATCCATTCATGCAGCTGCAGCATGCGTAAGCATTGATTCATATGTGATTGGTCACATAATTCACAGTCTCAGGGGGCATTTCATCGCTGACAGACAAGCTAATCTGAAATCCCCCAATTTACAAATGAAAATCCCACCATCCAATTGAGCTAATAGAGGGACTTGAATGGGATAATAAGATGTGGTGTAATACTGTGTAAAAAGCCTGTAATGTTGTGTTGGTGTAAGAGCCTGTGTGACTGGATGTTTGACTGTTTGCAGTGATTATAGGGGCCTCCGGGCCTGGCGACGGCTCTGTGGCTGGGACAGGGAGCTTCTCCCTGGGCAAGGAGATACGCCTGTCTGCCCCTTCTGCTGGAGCTACAGGGACCAGGATGTCATGAGGGAGAGTGCTCCCTGTGAGCTCTCTCTCTCTCTGTTTTGCTTTCTGTCTCTTTCTGTACCTCTCTCTCTTCCTCTCGTTCTCGGTCTGTACTATTGCAGTGCTTGCAGATGTGCACAAACAAGGGAGGATTAAAGCAAAACGAATCTAAACAGACAAATGGAATTAGAATGATGGGTGTCGGTGGGCTGGTTCACAGTGATAAACATAATGATGCTCTGTATGTATGTGTGTGTGAGTGTGTGTGTGTTCCTGTGTCTGGGGGATTATCAGTAGTTAGGTGTGTGGTGTGTATGGCTGGGTGACTGCTTCTGGGTGTCTTTGTGTGTTTGCCTATCCGTCTATGTTTTTGTAATTATGTGTGTGTATATTTACTCTGTCTATAGTTGTGTGTTTGATAAATTAGTTATTCCATATTGCCTCACAAAAACAAGTCTCTCTGTGCCCTCTGCATGTGTGTGGGTATGTTTCTCTGTTTTCCTTTCTGTTAGGGTCACATTTCTTTCTCGTCTTCCTCTGTGTTTCTGTTTGTGCAGCGGACACTTTTGCCTGTGTGTACTTAGTGGTCACCGAACTCAGTACTGACCTGCAACTTGAATATCACAGCACTATTTGCCGGAGTGGAATATGGAAGTGTAAAGCTGACCACTGCTCTGCTGTTTATGTGCAGTTGTGTTGTGTTCTTCTGCCAGCAGTCTGTGCGTTTATGTGGTGTTGAGGTCAGGGGTGTGGAGGAACCAGCAGGGGGGCAGTGATCAACAGTCTGGGGCTCCCCTGCAGAGGGGCTCTGGGATTAGGGCTAAACCCTGTCCTGCCAGATGGGCACAACACATCCCCACATCACATACAAGCACCGGCACCTTTAGGACTGCTTTTGCCCTGCCCCCTTTCTCTGTGGAAACTAAGTGACTTAAACCCGAGGTAAAAAAGAGAGACAAAAAATCAAACTGATATGCTTACACACTTTTTAAAAAATCCAGTCTGTGCAGTACAGATATGTATTTTTTGTTTGTTTGAGGAATACCAATTTCTCCACTGATTGAGTTTTTTCAAATTTGGTGCATGAGGGTTTTGTTACACTGACATAGCAGGAAAAACGAGGCCATGACATGTTGTCCATCGTTTCTTCTCAGGACCTCACAGAAACGCGGCAGAGGAGACGACTGAGATGAGGCACGCTTCAAAGTGTCAGGTAGTGGACAGTATGGCCAGTCAGCAGGTTTCAAGGGCATCAGAAATGAAACTTACAGGTTGTTTTGATGTGCTGTATTTTAGAGCCACAGGCTACACTGAAATGATAAAGTGTGTCTGTGTGTGTGGGAAGGTCTGTAAGTGTGTAGATTGGTGGCTCAGGCATCAGCAGTGGGTTGATTGCTTCCTGCTTGACTGTTATCAGGCACAACTGGCACGAAATAGCATTTATAATATTGAATGTATTCCCATAAATCTATAAAATTATTAGCTTTTTATGCATTGGCTCATCGACCTTATGAAAAATCTTGCTGTTTTCTGTTTCGTTACAATTCCTTCTTAAACTCGTAGCAACCTATGAGTCCATCAATCGCAAGTGGATAACTTGACATTTGCACGAACCTCCGGTGCTTTGTGATAACAGCCCACCTGTAACTATTATCCACTGGTTCCCCAGCATGACTTAGGAAATCATCTCTGCATTACTAGAAAGCAGATTACATGAGACAAGTGTACAAACAAATAAAAGATTACAGGCTGTGAACATGTTTCAGTCTAATTCCCTTTCAACAAGCTGTGCTCAGCACAATGCTTTTCTCTCCCCCAGCTAAATTTGGATTTCCCTGTTGATGTGAAGGCCTGCTGGCCAGCCATGTCTTCCACCAAGAGCACAACCTCTGTAATGACAGTGTTCCACAAGACTGGCCTGTCTCCTCTGCTGGTATTAGTTAGGCTTTGGAGTTCAAGTGACTACAGGGTTTAAACATGGATTTTTTTTTTTAAAAAAAAAAGAGGGGAAGAAAGACTCGCTGTTGTTCTTGAAAAGCTGTGTTTATCCAGGATTAGAGACACCAACATGTTAATAATTGTTTCTCACAGAACTGCAAAGAAGCACTTTCCTGTAATCCCCTAATCAGGCATTACACCTCTGAGCGAAGCCACAACGCAGGCGCGTGGTGTCTGTGACGCAGCACGCCTACGCTGTGTCGTACACCCACATCTTCCCCAAACCACACCCACTTTGTACAAAAGCACCTGCTCTAGTTTTCCTTTTGTAATCTACACTTCCTGCATTTACCTCATCTGCTCAACGCTGTAGATCAGTTGGGACGATAATAAATGTTTTCACTTTTATAGTTTTTTTTCTTTGTCATGAAGCATCTGCTGTGGATGTATCAGAAAGTTCTACGTGTGTCTTTCATTCATTTTTCACTATAACAGTCTGGTGTTGTTTGAACATAACATTTGTTAAAGCAACAATACTTCTGCTCCACTAGGTTTCAGAAATATATATTCTGACTTCTACTTTGCTACATTTACAGCCAGAATTGCTGCTCACTGGTATAAGTTTAGCAATTTAGCTATTTTAGTGAAAATGATAATTACACATATACATCATCCTATCTATAATAATTGGATCATATAATGATATATGATATGCCAATGCAAAAATCTGTTACTTTTGGTATTTATAGTTAAATTGTGTGCTTGAGTAAGGATCACGGTAATTACCTCTGCCAAGGAGGTCATGTTTTTGGTAGCGTTTGCCTGCGTACGTGTCAGTTTGTTCAGTTTTCAGTGAATTATGATTTAAACTTTCCATTAAAATTTGGCTTACATCCACTCAGGTCTTCAAGGTCAACTCAATAATTTATTTTTAGAAAATTGACAAAAATCTTTCAAACTCAACTATGATTTTTACAAGTGTGGCGTATATCGTTAATATACAGAAAATGCAGTATAAAGATATAACAGCTGACCTTTGACCTATTCGCCAAGGTCAGTAGCTTGATGATGTATCTTGAAGGTCAAAATGATACTAATGCTATACAGAGCTATTCAGAAGTATGTGCCATTGTTTGTATTGATACAGAGGCTTGTATGGAGGGGATTGTAAATATCACAGTACTTTGGAGCGCTGAGCGCTTCTTCAAATAAGGTCAAACTTTAATAAAATATCTTATCTTTACAACTGTGGTTAAAATTCTGCTGCCTTTGCTTGGATTGACAACATTTATGAAATTATACTGGTATATGGAGGTTATAAATATCACATTATAGTATCATGTCACATTTGACCTCTGACCTCACTTTTGCATTTCATATCTGCCTTTCTTTGAAATTGACCGTAAACTGTCTTTTAGCTTTAAGGAAAGTGTTGTCAGGAGAAAGTGAATATTCTGCCTATTTAGTTTGAACTATATGATATTTTATAATGAGCTCAAGTTATTCATGTCCAGTTACTTATAAATCAGTACCTGTTATCCATTACATACATCTGCATAATGTTTGTGTATTTAAAGTATCTGATTTTTACTGTGCTTAAAAGCCTCTTTAAAATATGTTGAAAAAGAAAAAAGAAAGCAAAGCGAATATATAAAAAAATTCAGTATTATTTCCTTATTAGTAAATACTGTCCAGAGAGTGAGCTGCCTTGGGAGAGGTTGT